AAAAAGACCCACCATTTACTTAGCCTCGTCGGGAGGCGGGTGCCGTCAACATTATCCCAAAAAGTTAAATACATAAAGAGGGCGCGGCGCAAGGAACAGACACCCCAAAACGAGAAATTCAAAAGCGGGGGGCACGAGGGACGCCCCACCGGCGCCCGCACCTTCGCTGCCTGCGGCCCCACAAACGAGGCAGCCCGCAGCTACACGCAGCGCACACGCCCCGCGCGCTGCCGCACAGCGGCCAGGCAGAGCAGCGCCGCCCACAGGGCCCGCAGCCCACCGCACGCAGCGCCCTCCCCACGCACAGGTTGCGTGCCGGGTTCATAACGAAATAAATTTAAAACAAAAACACTCAAGGGGGAATAAGCCCTGGGACGCGGCTTCGTCCCTTCTTCCAACACGCAGAAAGAAAAACAGTGAAGCTGAACCGCTATCCCCGCCGCGGCCACCACTCCAATACGGGGCAGAGTTGTCGCTGGCCCCCAAAAGGCACGCAAGTAGCACATGCACTGACGCGCTTCACCGTGGCCGGGCCCGTTGGAGGCCACGCCGCGGCAGTCGTTGGGGCCCGCAACCGCCGGACGCCCCGCGTGAAGGGCGGGGGCGGGATGAAAAACAGTCTGCGCCCGCCACCTTCCAGCGCCTCCTCGCAGGGAGCAAACCACGAAACAGAGAGAAGGAACCAATGCATACAAAAAAAAGACCCGCCATTTACTTAGCCTCGTCGGGAGGCGGGTGCCGTCAACATTATCCCAAAAAGTTAAATACATAAAGAGGGCGCGGCGCAAGGAACAGACACCCCCAAAACGAGAAATTCAAAAGCGGGGGGCACGAGGGACGCCCCACCGGCGCCCGCACCTTCGCTGCCTGCGGCCCCACAAACGAGGCAGCCCGCAGCTACACGCAGCGCACACGCCCCGCGCGCTGCCGCACAGCGGCCAGGCAGAGCAGCGCCGCCCACAGGGCCCGCAGCCCACCGCACGCAGCGCCCTCCCCACGCACAGGTTGCGTGCCGGGTTCATAACGAAATAAATTTAAAACAAAAACACTCAAGGGGGAATAAGCCCTGGGACGCAGCTTCGTCCCTTCTTCCAACACGCAGAAAGAAAAACAGTGAAGCTGAACCGCTATCCCCGCCGCGGCCACCACTCCAATACGGGGCAGAGTTGTCGCTGGCCCCCAAAAGACACGCAAGTAACACATGCACTGACGC